TTCTTCACTCCTAGGCTGAACTGAAAGATTAGAAAAATAAATGGTCATATTCTCATGAAAAAACAATTTCTGGTATAAAATATGTGGCAAAGAACAAAATATTAGTAATTTAACCTCATTAAAAAAAAAAAAAAACCAACAAAAAAACCCCACACCAAAACCCCAAACAAACAAACAAAAAAACCAAACTAGTTTTATTGTCTAACCTAAGTATGGCTCCTTATCAAAGCTGGAAGGATCCTTTTCTTGAATAGGTTCTCTGGACCTGTGTGTGGAGTGTTAGATCTGACTTACTTTTTCAGGATCTGTGTAATTAGATTAAATTTGGGTGAGGAGGAGGAGATGGGACACACAGGATGACACATGATGGGCACACATGCCACTGGCAAACTTCAAGTAGTGGTATTTTATTTTAGGTTAAAAAAATCCATTCCTTAGTAAAACATCTTAACAAAAATGTCAATCTTCCCAAATCAAAGGTGTGTCTGATTTTTAAACTTGCTTTTTGAACTAAAGCCAAGCTTAGCTTAATTTGGTTTCCACCAATATTTTTCTACACTCAACTGAACAATGTGTGCCAAATGCATTTTCATTTAATAAATTATTGACCCGAACTTTGCTGATAATTCTACAGAAATGACAAGAGGATGGTGATCTGCTCATCTTGTCAGTATGCTCCCCAGATGGCTTTTGTCCAAACCCTCATTAAGAAATAGTTTCTTTAATTCCCCTGTTATAGTGAAATATCAGGTTGTTTCTCAGATTTTATTATTATCCTAAGCCATCAACTCCGTATGCATGAGAACAACCATCAGTACAACGGTTCTGCACTTCATGACTGTGTTAAATCAGTAAAACACTGTTAATACAACCTAGAAATACACTATCAGTTGATGTGCAAAAGCACAAGTGCACCTGATAGAGCTAGCAGGAACCAAACGCTGGTACTATCCACTGAGGTTCAAATACCTAAGGGGATCTTGTTACTTGTGCTGTGTTGTCTACTCTATTTGATTAAATCCTGGTCCTGTAGCTGTGGCTCTGGCATTTTCAAGACAAATCCTTCATTAGTGTTAAAAAATTGGGCTAAACTGTCTGACAGTCTGATCCAAACTAATCCTACAGAAACATTAGTAAGTCCCAAAAGCAGTAGGAGATGCTGTTGCTATTAGTAGCTGATCTGTTTGAGGCAGGATGGACCAAGTATGAAGAAGAGGTTAAAAATAAGTTAAACAACCTGCATGCTTGGCCACTCTGCTTTCTGTCCCTGTTATCTAACATGCTCACCTCAGAAGAAATCTCTGATTTAATTAGAAGTACCAATCTGGGATTCGTGCACTTACATAACAAATCACCTTGGGAAAGAATTTTAAAAGAGACCTTTTTACCAATAATACTTTCCCCAAATATTAATTATTCATGTTTATAATAATTACAGCATGGCACTGCGCAACTAGCCAGCTCTCAGTTTTGTCTATGATGAATTAAAATAGTTGCAGGCAATTTAAGGCCAGAACCTAAGTGATGCTGATCAAACTGGAGAAATATTATGTGTTTCCTCTAGCTTTCTTTATTCACTGCTATAATGGAATTTTTTTCTGTTCTCTGAAATATATTTTTGCCATAGTATTTTTACTATTTTTTTCTCACCAGACAATCTGATCTACTGTCTAGCCAGAAAGTTGAAACTACTTTAGCTTCTATTTTTAAGTCTCTGCATTTGAATGAGGTTTTGTTTGTTTGTTTGTTTGCTTGTTTGTTTTTAACTCACATCTGCCACTTTAAAAAAAAAAAAAAAAGTTGATGCGTTTAAGTGTCTAAATCATAGAATCATAGAATGATTTGGATTGGAAGGGACCTTAAAGATCTTCTAGCTCTAATACACAATGATTGTGCCTACATATAATCCAAGTGTAGAAGTTTCTTCTCTAGTCACTGAAGATAAACTTCTTGACTCATTTGCCAAGTACAGATAACAAGTGCCATCAGAAATGTCACAGGATATATGAGAGTACTGCACAAAGGTGACAGATGTGCCACAGGTTACAGAGGAGACTCATGACTTTTCAAACTCCAGCAGAACATCAGGCAGGATGCTCAAAGGGCGTTAGACAAACTCAGTAGAGTTTGGAGCTCCTTGTGTAGACTTCTGTTTGAGGGTGACTTGAAGACCTCAGAGCAGTGAGTAATCTGTCAGCTCCCTCAGTTAGGTTTCCATTACAGAATCACAGAATCATAGAATATGCAAAGTTGGAAGGAACTCGCAAGGATCATTGAGTTCAACTCCTCACCCCGCACAGGACCATCCCAAAGAGTCACACAACGCAGCTGGAGAGTATCATCCAAATGATGATACTCTCTTCCTGAGCTTTGTCAGGCTTGGTGATGTGACTACTTCCCTGGGGAGCCTGATTCAGCACCCAACCACCCTCTGGGTAAAGAACCTTTTTCTAATATCCAACATAAACATGCCCTGACACAACTTCAGGCCATTCCCTCGGGTCCTGTCACTGGTCACCACAGAGAAGAGATCAGTGCCTGCCCCTCCTCCTCCTCTCACGAGGAAGTTGTAGACTGCAATGAAGTTTGAGTGTAACAAAGTTTAAACACCTAGTTCCCATGTTGTTACCTACATTTAGGTACCTAAATTTTAATGTGACCTGCTGCTGAGTCTCACCATGGATGTGCTGATAAGAACATAAAGATCTTGGGATTTGCAGATACATAAATAAAATGTGCTGGTCATCATGTAACATTGATGTTTTAGGGACCAGCAATTTCTGGAATAAAACACTACCTGGAATAGGTTGATGGATAAGTTCCCTCTCCAGCAAAGTATTTCCCATTAAGTAAGCAACAAGTTTTGTCTTTATTCAATGAAACATTGTAAATTATTCTGGGAATTTGGTATGTGCTTAATAGGTCTTCTGATTCGGGACCAAAGCTCCATTTATATATATGCATCCTACATTAAATCCCATGCTTGTGCACAAGGCTTTGCAACCCCTGCCTACAGTGCATTAACCTGAGCGGAAATGTGAAAAAAATTAAAGTCAAATAAGTGGATTTCTGAACACAATCATGAGATAACTAAGAAATCACATCATCAGCNAAAAAAAAAAAAAAAAAGCAAAGGCCATGGTTCACTTCATTTCAGTGGATTTATCTCAGATCCTGGCAGGTTAGCTTGACGTGTTTTTAGAGAACAGGTAGGACATTTGGGATTAAAGTTACTTCTTGTAACTGTGTCATTAGCATTGTAGCAGCATGCAGGCGCTGATCATGTTCTCTCTGTCTCGCTTCCACACCTCTAATCTCAGAGCTGACCCAATTTATATCACTAGCTTTCCATGGGCCTGTGCATATTGAAATCCAGGAAAGCGGAAAGGGATGAGACTCCCTGAAAATAAACTCAGTTGGCAAAAAGATTAATCCATTTCTAAATGCATTTTTGCCTGCTCCTGAGTGTGCAGAGTTTCATCTACTTAAGGATCATAGGCCTAAATCCAGATACTGACACTGCTTGGGAAGGTTCAAGAAAGAAAAAGATGAATTGGTATTTCAAATGGATCTGTCACCAGCACAAATGATTTGGGAATCTTCTGAGAGAGAGGGAAGTAGGAAGACAGAATAATGAAGTTGGAGCCAACACCTCATAGCAGTCATTGGCAGTAGTTGGTATAAGAAACTATTCTTTTCCATTCCAAGTATCACTCATCATCGGTAACTCTGGAAAACCTGATGTCCTCTTAAAAGCATTCCCGAAGTAGGTACAATCAGTCATCAGTGGCAGAGGTTTATGTAATCTCACATTTACAGTGAGGAAAACAATTTATGGAGGAGCAAAACATGAGACACAGCATCCCTCAGGCCTTTGTCAAAGGATTTCCAGAAAACAACTTAGCTGACACAGAAATTAACCACTTCATAAGTGTACTCGTACCCCTCTGAGCATGAAGAGTTTTACCCATTTGATGATCCCAAGTCTAACTCCAGATTCTTCTAAGCTTGAAAATACAGAACACCATTTATTCCTAACAAGAGCATTTTCTGCACATTAAAGGCTTCTGCTGAAGCATCAAATACACAGGACTAGGTTTAAAAACAGTGCTTTGAGAATTACATTCACTCATAATACTGGAAATATCAAGACATGCAAGATGTCTTATGCCAGACATGGGTGGATGAGATGTGTGGATGCCAGATGCGTGTATGAGACCTCTTTGCACATGGAGACCTCAATAAGTGGGGAACCATGACTGGGCAGGCAGAGCATCCGTGGAGTTCATCTGGGCTTCCGGGGTTTCAGCTCACTCACACCTCTGACTCTGCTTCCCTCCTCTGACTGAAGGCAAGTCCCAAACATTTATAGCTCTAAACAGTAGTTTGGGCACCGTAATGTCATCCCCAGGAGCACACCTGGCTGTAGAACTTGAACACTTGCTTGATAAGCCAAGGCGCATCTTCCAAGCTTGTGGATGAGAGCAGGGAAATGTCCTTTCCTGGGGCCCCGGGAGTCAGGCAGTATCTGTGCCTGGAGCAAACACACTGTGCTTATTTGCTGATTTCTTACAGTGACAGGGCAGGTCATTGCACCAAAAATGCTGGGATTATTCTCATTTATTACCTAAAAATATCTAGCAATAAAATCTTCTTAAAGGCATGATAGTCAAAAGCAGATGAATGATTTTTCCAACAGATGATTCAGATAGACCCCCAACATAGGTACTTAGAACACTTTCCAGCACTTCTAAATCAGATCAAAACCATATTAAAATTAATATAGGGTTAGAGAAAATCGGGTAAGACCACAACTCTTATCAAAACGAACTATCCTGAGACTGTGGGAGGAATGGTCATGCCCTTGTCAGCCAGAAAAATGTAATGACTGTATTGCTGTCAAATCTTTCTCTACATGAAAAGTGTCAAGTTTATTTTTGTATCTGTTACTATTGCATGTCTGGTGTGTCATATTAAATATGTGCAAAATTCCCTCTTAGGAGAAACTGTGATTAGAAAGAGGAAGAATAAAGTAAGATGAGCTTAAATGTGACAAAATAAACAAGCAAAAAGAAGAAATGGAGTAGGAGACCAGGTAACAATCTCATTCAGATACTTTGTCATGTGTCCATAGCCAAAGGTTTTTTCAGATACTTCCTTCATATATAAATGTTAATATTCAATAAATATAAATATTATATGGTCTCTGAGGGGTAATAGAAGAGACATTCAGGACAGTACCATGATCAGTTCAGAAATCTATTCTACATTTAAGTGGATTTAAGGTTGAAAGCACTTGTCAATAATTCAAGGGTAAAATACATTAAGGGACTACTGTCCAAAGCTCAGGCAATATAAACTGGGAAACTGAGAATCAAGGAACTGATTATAAAACATCCGGCCATGCAATCATCAGGATTTTGTGGTTTCTTGATAGTATTATGACAGAGCAGAGTTAAGGCTAGCTGACACTCTCTGTTGTGCCTGCTTTGTCTACATGTATCTTGATCATTTTCAATGTAAAATAACATATATTTAGATGTAGTTATTTGCTGACCCTGGTGCCTCTACTAAGAGGCAATCAGCCAGCCCCTCCAGAAAAGCAGCACAGTGACTGTCAGAACACAAATAAGGTTATTCCCCTATCCATGCAAACATAAACAACATACTTCAGTGAATTAGAGCAAGAAAGATTAAATTAAAAGACAACTCCTGGTCCCTGACAGCTGTGTCTCCTTTCCTGCACACAGTCGAGAACAGGATATCTTGTGCATTTGAAAGTAGCCTAGAAGAAAGTGATCTGTGTGTAAAACCAAGGAAAACAGGCTGAAAGGGATCTCAGGAGTCCTTCTTAACATATTGCTACATCCTAACCCCATGTAATGATGCTTTCACTAAGTCTGTGTCAAGGATAGCAGCAAAAAGGATTCAGTATTTAAAAGGAAATTACTGTTTCTGTTTGACCTTCTTGCTAATGCTTTGTCTTCTTAGCTATGACTAGACCTGTGAAGTAATAAGTGTTCATTTGGGAAAAAAAATACCCTTTAAATATAAAGAAGTGAAGTTCCCTAAGAAAAGTGCTGAAACTACAGATGACACAATCAAATGTAATAAAACCTGTGTTATGGGCATTAGTCACCCATTCTGCATGTGTCCAGGCTGTTCAAAATGACAGAGAATGCCTCTGGCACACTTTGGCATTAGAAAAGAATTGTGATTCCACTTTTGACTTGTTTTCTTAGTCAGATGGTCTATATACCCTCAAACAAATCTGAACAGCTGAAAAAAAAAAAGGGAGAAATAATAAACAGCTTTTTTCTCTGTCCACTACCACTAACTGTGCATCTCAAATCAAAGCTAATTAATTCTCACAATTCATGTTTTCTTCCTGGAGAATGTGCTGCCAGATCAGATCAAAACAAAGAAACAAAAAACCTCCACCTGAAATGCAGCCTCATTCAACCAACGCTGACACAGATTGTCCCTGCACAGTGCCACACAACAGCTGTGTGCCTTATGCAGAGCACACAGCTGATGGCAAAACAGAAACAGGAGGGACACAAATTGAAAACCATCCACTCTCTTTAGTCTATGGTTGTATGGTTATCAGGATAAAAGTATTCTGGATGCTCCTCTCCCTGCCATCTTCACCCAGGAATTTTTAATGATTGCTCCAAAGCAGGTTCTTACAATAATGGATGCCCTCGATGTCTTCCAACGTCTTGCTGCTTGCTGAAGAGCCAGTCCCTGATGCCTGCCAAGGACAGGTTCCCTCTTGGCAGTGGACAACTGACCTTACCAGTCCCCAAGCCACCCTAGCAGCCTGACAAAAAGTGTTTTCACTTTGTCCCTCTCTCTGCCCCAGGGTAGATGGTAGGAAGTTTCCAGTAGGCCAGCTTGGCTGTAGATAGGCTGCTCCTGTCATGTTTGTTACAATACTTTGAGAACACTTTTATTGCTAGATTTTCTACAAACAGACTAAATCAAACTTGTTCTATTAAAGCACTGGGCTAAGGCCTGGGCTGCAAAACTGGATGCTGAATCATAAAGAGGTCAAGCCACTAAATGGATTATGAATTTCTAGCTAATATATTGGCTTCATCTCTGGCCCTTGACAAGCCACAGTCATGGTAGGGAACAGATCCTTAGCCAGCATTTCCTTTATTTTGTAATTTATTTTGTAATTTAGCCAGCATTTCCTTTATTTTGTAACTCCTAATACAATGAGTTCAAAAAAGCACAAAGATAAATCTCAACAGTTCATGGTCCTCTGGGGACAGGAGAGCATTCTAGCTTCATTTGTGTCTTCTTCTGTCCTTGCTCTTCTGCTCAGGGAGTTTGTTGTGTGTTAATAGGAATGGAAATGGAGCAATTTTTTCCTCCTAGATCAGGCAATCTGAGTAATGCTTAACCTCTAATCTAAGTGCTGGGAAGGGATTCTTGATACTTCATTGTGCTTCTTAAACTAGTTCATTAGCCAGAGTTCTTTATTTTCTTATAGAACATCAGAAAACATATAGGGTTTTCCTAAGCCTTACCCACTGGGCTTTCCCATCCCAATGGCATTCAGCTCTGAGTCTCAGAAAATCGATAAACAGCAGAAACTACGTCCACTGCAAAACCTCTTGAACAAAAAGGAGAGTTGAACCACTTGTGTGAGTAAATAGGCTGGAATCAAAGGTGTAGTTGTAGCCCCTTCCATTACAACTGTGTAGCGGTATGTGCAAAGTTCTTGGCAGACTACCACAGCTGAGCACCTCCACAATCACTGCTGAGGCTTAATCCTGGCCTATCGATATATATGTTACTTGTATTGACAGTATAAACATAAAACCCTTCCACCTTAAGGCTGACCAACACTTTCTGTTACAAGCCCCATGTGCAAGCCTGTATAAATTTACATAAAGAGCATACGAAAAATGTTTGTATGGGATTTTCCATTTAATTCAGAACAAAAAAAATAAACTTATAAAAAATATCATGTCATTGGCAATAAAAAATCATGATGCAGGAAAACGTTTGAAAAGTGAGTGTATGGAACTAGATGTAAGTTACCTAAAGGACGAACTTGGATGGTTGGCTTTGAAAATCAGTTCATTCAATTCAAAGAATGGTATTGCTGCTTTAGAAAATATTCAGCAAAACATGCCTACCAATTTAACCTCCCAAAGGAGACAGATTGATTAACATTACAGGCAGGAAGTCAAGAGAGTGTAGTAAGGCTTTGCTTCTGAGCACCTATCACAGCTGCAGTCACAGTGCAGAGTAGCCTGAGGCTGCTCCTCCTCCCCAAAACAGAGGTTCAGGAACTAGGTAGGAATATCAGAGTTTGGGCTGAGTCTGACTGCTGCTCCTCAGGTACCCATGCCCGGAGTGGGGGTACCAGGAATGACAACGTGATTGAGAGACACAGCAGAACTTACTCCATGCTCACAGCAGTGACAATCTCCCCATTAAATCTGGTGATTAAAAATAGCATTTGTATTGATTGCAGGTAATGATCAAAGTTACACTTCAAAAATATTCCTTAGTTTGACTGTCTGGTGGTACAAACTTGACTGAGATGATAGGAGCTCTGTCAATCTATTAAGCTGTAAATCTAGCCTTTCCACTACCAGTAACCCAAATATTGAGTAAACAGAGAAACTCTATTAATGCAGAGTCACAACATTCAGAAATGCAGAGAAACACCTGAGTCCAATTGCAGCCAGTTTTTTCCTCTGTAACTTCTCTAACATGTTCTGTTCTTCAGTTCTACCGCACATCATTTTGAAAGTTTACCCTACGCCCTTAGCTTTTACCGCACTGTTTAATCCCACAGCCTCATCTCCAGGAACAAGGAAAAGTAGTTTAAAAGAGACCCCCATCTAATGTAACCATTAAGGGTATTAGTCATACATTGTTTAATGGGCAATGCATTTCACCAGTGCCACAGAGATGCTGCTAGAAACACAACAGGGTTGATGCTATAAGATGCTCTCATTTCCAAGAACAGCATTTGAGATAAGCTGTTCCAACAGCAGCCAGAAAATGTTTAGTAGCTGTGAATACTCTTTGTGCTTGTCTGAAGGTACGTTATAAGAGCTCACAAGACTGATTCAGTGAGTGATACCCTCAGGGATGATGCCTTCCAGAAGACATTCACTTCAGCTGTGATAATAAAGGACACAAATAAACCAGTGACTGCATAACCCTGAACCTGCACTAAAGACACAAAGCAACCAAGCAGAAAAGAATCCACTGCTGAAAATAAGACAAATATAAAACTGAGAAGTTCCAAATTGGGAATTTTCTCTGTAACTGCATGTCCTGATAATAGATCCAAAGTCCACAGGCCAGAAGCTGCACAGGTAAGGTTGAACCACCTGCAGCTCTGAGACGGGTTTGCCTGATCGGGTTTGATTGATTAACTGTGCCCCCTTTTCTGTATGTGATTAAGCTCTCAGAAATGGGATTTACATGGTCATGAGACCTCATGCACTGCAAGGCCCATGTCTGCCTCCCTTCCTTACTCTTTTCCATCCCTACTCTGGCAGTTACTCATTTAGTTTTCCCCATGCAGACTCCAGTTTCATGTCCACAGATACTCAGACAGAGTGCCAGTCTCTAGCAAACCCTGGACCTGGGGCCCACAGATGCATTTGTGGGGGACATGGGGACTTTTTCTGCACTGTGCCCAACTTTATGCCCTATTCTCTGTGGTCAGATAACACAAGCCTCCACTGTGAGTAAACAACTGGTTTGCATTTTTAACTCATTGCTAATATAGGAATCTACCACCTATATACCAGTGAAAGTTGTTTCTCAGATCTCTGAGCAGAATTAGTCCCAACATTTATCCCAGGTCACATAGCAGCCTTTTGTGGTGCTCTGTCATGTTTCATCAACCACATAACACAGGTTGTCTAACCATAATGGATAAAGCAGGCTGAAATGTAGCATATTAGTAGATCTGCTATGAGTCCAAAATTCATAGGTCTGTTCTGAGCAATGTGATGCTGCCTACAGTGCTCAAACCAGATCTGGCATCAAATGTCATCTAGATCCATAGCAACATTTTTTACCTGTGCTTTTCTATCCTAGTCCTCAGACAAAAAA